CCCCCCCCGCCGACCGTGGTCTGGGCGAGGGGAGTCCTGGCCGAGAGCAGTGGGCAGAGCCTCCTGGAGACCCCCCACCGCGACGCCAAAGGGCTGCCCATCTTCTGGATGAAGAAGGACATCTGAGGGGCCGGGGCCCCAAGCCACTGATTAAAAGCAAGTGTGGGCAGGGGCTCCCTGCCCCGGCGCTGCCTGACTGCCTGCTGTTCTTCGGGGCTGGCACCAGCTCCCCCAGCCTCCCCTCTTTGCCCTGGCCCCACTGCCAGGGTGAGGTGCTCCCCACACCTGCCCTGTCTGGGCACACTGGCTCCATTCCTGCCCGACCCCCGGCTTGCCTGGCCGGAGCCCTGAGACCACCAATGCAGTAGGGAGCCAGGCTCACCCCAGGCTCTGGGGTTGGGACTGGTCCCAGGAGTGCTGTCCAGTCCCACCAGTGCCTCCTCCACTCAGGGGACTCGCTGTGGGGCAGCTGGGGCTGATGGTGCGCCACATCCGCCAGTGTGGCTGCCATCCTCCCTGCTGAGCAGCCGGGGGAAACCGAGGCACACAATGGCTGGAGGGGCACCGGAAGGAGTAGGGCAGGGTGGCACGGGCTGCAGGGTCCCCTGCCTTGTGCCGTGAGGAGGGCAGGCAGCCAGGCCCCCTCGAGGCAGCCGGCGGCGGCGAGGGCTGGAGGCACCATAGCAGGAGCAGGAAGGTCAGGGCGAGCAGCCGGGCCCTGCGCCGGGGGATTAGCGCTGTCTGTGCTGCGTCATGCAGCCCCCGAGCCTGTCCCCGGCCTAATCCCCTCACCCTGAGCAGCTGGCCGGCACCGGGCAGGGGCACCTGGCCCCCTCCAGCCCTGCCTGGGCTGGGGGGGGACAGAGCTGCCCCCTTGGCTCCACCACGCCTCATGGGGGGCTCAGCCCCAAAGCAGGGTGCCCAGCCTGGCTGGGCCCTGTGTCGAAATGGGGAAGAGAGGGTTGTGGTGCCCCCACTACCGGCAGTGCTAGGAGCCAGTAGGGAAACTGAGGCACCGGGGTTGGTGGCTTGCAGTGCTACACCAGAGCTGTGCCATGGCTGCGGTGGTGCAGGCAGGGACTCTGGGCACTGGGGCGCAGCAGGCAGAGGTGCCCACTGGCGGCGGTGAGGCAGGAGGTGTCTGAAACCCCCAAGTTTGCTCAGTCCCATGGGATTTTGGGGTGGGCAGCATGTGCCTGTGGGGCAGCCTGGCCCCCCCCGTGGCTGATCTCAGCCCACCACACGTTGGGGCAGCAGCGCCGGCATGGCCAGTGTGCCCGCTGCACCCTGCTGCCTCACCCCCAACGCTCTCCTTTCCCTGCAGGGTGCCGGCCCCGCGGGCAGCCGGCGACACAGGATGGTGCCGGCGCTGGCGCTGTGGGCCTGCCTGGCGCTGGGCATAGCTGGTGGGGAGAGCCCGGCACCAGAGCCCCTGGCAGACGGCCAGCCCTTTGCCGTGGTGTGGAACGTCCCCGCCGGCCGCTGCCAGCGCCACTTTGGCGTGGGGCTGCCCCTCAGTGACTACGGCATCGTGGAGAACCAGGATGGCCGCTTCGCCGGCCAGAACATCACCATCTTCTACAAGAACAAGTTTGGGCTGTACCCCTACCTGTCGCGGCAGGGCGTCCCCCACAATGGGGGCATCCCTCAGCGGGTCCCCCTCGATGCCCACCTTGCCAGGGTGGCCAGAGACATCCGCCTCCTCCTGCGCCCCGCTTTCCACGGTCTGGCCGTGGTGGACTGGGAGGAGTGGAGTCCCCTCTGGGCCCAAAACTGGGGGGCCAAGCGGATCTACCGGGCGGCCTCAGAGCAGTGGGTGTGGGACCGACACAGCTTCCTGCCGGTGTGGCGGCGGCTCCGGCTGGCCCGGCGGGAGTTTGAGCAGGCGGCACAGGCTCTGATGGAGGAAACGCTTCTGCTGGGCCGATCCCTGCGCCCGGGGGGACTCTGGGGTTTCTACCGCTTCCCCGACTGCCTCAACGGCAACTGGGCCAAGGAGGCCAACTACACCGGGCAGTGCCGGCTGGCAGAGGTGCAGCGCAACAACCGGCTGAGCTGGCTCTGGGCCGCCTCGGCTGCGCTCTACCCCAGCATCTACCTGCCACCGGCACTGGCGCCCGCCCTGCCCCCCACCGCGCGCGAGGCCCTGCGCGTGGCCGCCTTCGGGGCCGACAGCCTCCTGCCCGTGGTCGCCTATGCCCGCCTTTCCTTCCGCCGCTCGCGCCGATTCCTGGACCTGGTAAGCGCCATGGGGCCGGGGCAGCAGGTGGGCCGGGGCGGCAGGCACGCTGGGGGTCCCGCTGGGTGCCAGGACGTGTCTCGTGCCCCCCCAGCCCAGTCACGTCTCTCTCTCCCCGGCAGGCTGACCTGGTGCACACCATCGGGGAGAGCGCAGCGCTGGGTGCAGCTGGACTCGTGCTCTGGGGAGACATGTCGTACTCCCGCTCGGCTGTGAGTACAGCCCCTCGCCGCACTGGGGCACCGGAGCTGGCACGTGGCGGGCAGCAGGAGGTGGCATGGGCATGGGATGTATGGGATGGCCTCATCTCCTGTGCCTGCTGGGGATGGGTGGCCGGAGGGACCCCAGTGCCGGGGCAGGTTCTCACTGGTGCTTCCGCCCCCAGGAGAGCTGTGCCAGCCTGCGTCACTACCTCGTGTCCACCCTGGGTCCCTATGTGGCCAATGTGACTGCGGCAGCCCGGGAGTGCAGCTACGGGCAGTGCCACGGGCACGGGCGCTGTGTGCGCCGGCAGCCCCATGACCTGGGCAGCCTCCTGCACCTTGGCCCCAGTGCCAGCCCGCCGGCCTCTTTCCGCTGCCACTGCTACCGCGGCTGGGCCGGCAAGGGCTGTGCTCGGCGGGTCCATCCCGGCCCTGCTGCCTCCTGCCTGGCACCCACCCATGCTCACAGCCTCTACAGGCACGAGGACCTCCCGCCCCCTGACACCTGCTTGCCGCGGGGCACATGGGGCTGGTGACCAGGGCCAGGGACCGCCGCGGTCCCCTACGCCGGCAGTGCTGCTGCCTGGTGCTTCCCATGGTCTTGTTAATTTAAATAAATCCTCCTGGCACAGCTGCAGG